AAATCAGAGATTTGAGCCACAGAATCAAGCAAAATAAATCCTAACCAGACGAGGGGTTTTTCCCTTCTCTCTCTCTCTCTCTCAAAGGCCAAGAGTAAAACGCGTAATGGAGTCAATGCAAGTGCCAAGTGAAACGGCACATTATAATGGAAGGTTCCAGAATCAATCCAACAGCCAAGGTTCAACCACGTGTCGCCATCCAGACAAAAGTGTCAATTTAATAGAGTTGCATTTTCACAAAACACGACTTCACAGTGTAATAAAATTCTGGAAGCAAAATACCATGGTTCGAATCTCACAATTATCTCAGATAATGACCCAAAGTCCGGCATCGAAGATCCCAAGTTTCACCCCAGAGAATGTTTTGTGGATTTATTCCTCTAAATTTTGATAGGTTTGCATTTCGGATGACATTCCAAACGAGATATCTTGAAGCCACATAAAGTGCATGCGGTATATGTATTTATCAAGCTAAATAATAAAATAATGATTTAACAAACTTTCGTATCAAGTATTATATTAACCACAAGACAAGGAAATTAAAGGTCTGGACTAAATCAAAAAATTAAAAATTCGATTACTAAAAACATGAAAAACAAAATAAAAATCATGATAAATAGAATGTTCATAAATAATCTCAAAATTCGGATAATAAAAATGCATAAAATGAAAATTAAAAACTGCAACTAAAACTACTAAAAAAGACAAGGTCTAACGCAGATTCAATATCTAAAATAAACTAGAAAGATATATAGGGGTTGGGGGGCTGGAATAATAGAGAGTAATCATAGGGCTTATTCTCCTCATGCAGCAAAGATTCCAAATCCAAATATTCGTTCCTGTCCATCGTTGGAATTCCTGATGACTCGTGATATTGTTCCATTGACACTAGATCATGAGTAGAATTTATTGGTGACACCATGGTAATGGAAGCTAGATTACTGTATATCTCTACATTCTGATATGGAGGAACATCATAAACATCTGGGTAAACCACGTTATAGGGATTCTGATAATTTGGAAAACTCTGTGGAGGAACAGGATGAACTTCCAGTTTATGATCATTCTTTTCCTGCTCTGCTGCAGCTTGATCATTGTCGTTATGTAGTTCTTGAACCTGATTTTGGTTTGTCCTTTGTCGTTTTCCAGTGTTGTAGTTCGATTTGCCCTTTTTGTTGTAGACCTTACACAGAACCCAATCGTCCAACTACAACAGAAGACTCCATTGAACGACGTTGCAGATAAATAAAATTCAAGGACTTTATAAAAGTTTTAAAGATTAATGCGTAGATAAAAACAATCTTACTATATGTACATTAACTTTGATATCATGGATGACATTCTTGTTAGATGATATTTTTTTATACATTGATTATAATAACACTTTAAACAATTATTGACACAAATTTTGACAACTCATACAATGTCAACAACAATGTTATCTAGGAATGTACATCTATATTAATTTAAATTGAAATAAAAAATAGTTGTACCTTCATGTCATCTGGACCATTTCGTTGGCGGGGTGGAAGATTTTTCGCTCGATATTCGTGCATAATCCAAGAAGTCTTCACACCCTTTGGTTTTTCATCGTAGAATACCAAAGCCTTCTGATATCCAATAGTTTCACCGTTGCGCTTGATTTGTTTGTCAGCCCCGGTAGCTTTCCAGTATCCTTTACCTGCAGCTCGATCTGGCCGTTGCCCATTTTTATACTTTCTATTCCTTGGGGTAAAGAAGTACCATTCATTCGGTCCAGCTGGCTTGTAATCTTCTGTAACGAAATAGCACGAACAAAAAAATATCAATCCATTCTAAAACCCTACACATCTTCACTTGATTAGCAAATAATATAAAAATGATTGATTTAATAAGTTTCATCCTACAAAAGAAATAAATAACTAAACAAATGTATAGAAACTAACTAAACAGTTCTTCTTACTGGCAAGTTGTTCCGGGTTGAACTCGTAGAGATTAAGGACGCCAATCTCATTCCGAGGCAGCTGCTCATTCCTGATCTTTTTGATCAAGTAGTCATCGATAAGTTCGTCATCACGAGGCACAAATCGAAAACCCGGAGGCAAACCGCCAAAGTATTTATCATCAGTAAGCCTTGAGAAATAATCATTGTAAGTATACGAAGTTGAGGGAATGCTATCATCTACAGGGTATGTAAGAACACCAGTTATAGTTTTTCTAGGGTGACTCTCCATCTTAGGACTCCAAGAAAACCTTAACGAATAATGTTGTTGAATGATGTTTTCTCTGAGTTACAAGTTTAATCGAAGTCAAACGTTTGGAATTTGTTTTAAGGTTTCTTGAGTATTTAAAGGAAAATAGAACTCTAAACAGATAAATTTGAATTGAATAAGGATATACATGCATGCTATGTGATAAACCTTAATTAACTAGTACAAGTATCATGATAATTATAATTAAAGAAAAGAAATTCAAGAATTTCATTAAAAATTATTAACAAATTTTTATTTATTTTTATTTTTTTCAAAAAATAACTTACTATAGAAGGTTATTTTTTATTTTATTTACTAATGTAATAAAACACTTACTACATTCTTAAATTTAGAATTATTTTTAATAATTATATAAGTTAACAATTTGGTACGTCGGTAATCCAAAATTGTAGTTCTTAAGTGTACTTGTGCTTAACTGATTTAAAAACAATAAAAACAAGAAAACGTATATTTTTTGGAGTGCTCTAAATGAAAATGTGTTAGGATCATGATCTCACTTAACCATCATTTAATCAATTTCGCAAAAGCAATTTAACGTATTACTTACTTTTTAATGATAGCCTCGATTCTCCTAATTTAGCTAATTATCTCTCGTGAGTGTTAAATTTAGTGTATTAATATACCATATCTCTATATCAATTAATAACATGTGCAATTGCAATCACTTTTGTGAGAATAGCTGAATGAATCATCTAGAATTAGAAGTATATTTCTATTTTCTACAAAAACTTGAGATAATAATTTCTTGAGGAACGAATACTTCACTAAAAAAAAAATTGGTTATCAAGCAAATGAAATACATGAAATAAATAACAATCACAACGCAAATGGGGGAAAAAAGATTAATGGCAAATAAAAAAAATTAATTAGGTTAAGGTTAAACAACATCAATCATCGCTCCTATTGAAAAAATTAACAAGAAATATAATAGATAAAGAGATACATTACAAAATTGAAGAAATTAAACATAAGATTAAAGATATTACTTAGAACTCGTACTTGATTGGATTTCTAGAGTGGAAACTTGCTTAGACTATCTTCTTCAATTTTCCCCAAACAATTTCTAAGCTTCTCTTATTTTTGCTCTTATTCTTTCTTCACTTTTTGAGCCTCTCCAAGTCTTGTGCAAATTCCTTTAAAAATGCTATTCAAAAGGTTGTCTTGTTGCGCTAGAGTTTTGTGCCTTCCAGTTTTCTTCAAAACTCCAACTTCTTTTCGGTTTTTTTTAATTTTTTTTGGCCCCACTTTTGTCAATGTAATTAATGTTGGGGACTTTAGTGGATCAGCTCTATTACATAAATTGATTCATATATATATATATATATATATATATGAAAAGAAGAGAAAACGTATGTGAGATGGACTAGCAGAATCCTAAGGCAACTGGATTTCATGGTGGATGGATCGGGCAATCATGCCAGACTTCAGGATGAAGCACAAAGAAAGGTAGAGAGAGGGGTTGAGTGGATCTAGCAATCATGCCAGATTTCAGGATGGAGCACCAAGAAACGTAGAGAAAGCATATGTGAAATGGACCAGCAGAAGCCTTAAGGCAACTGGATCTCATAGGGGTATGGTTAGTCGAATAGCTAAAGCCAATTTTCCTAGCTATAACAGGAATCGAAGTTATGCCCCTTTTCATTGCTTTCTCAATGCTTCTCCTTCAACCATCCGCAAGGGATTCTAGGTCTAGCACTGAGAATGGCAAACCAATGACTAGTGAAGATGCTGGAGAACTGTGCGAGGATGAAGGTATCCATTAATACAACTTTGATTGAACACATGAAAATGAACGTACTTGAGATTATGAACTTTTTAGGATGCATAGTGGGAAGAAATGAAATGGACGAGCCAGCTGAGACTAGGGTTTTCCCTAGAAGTATTAGAAGCCAAATGGTGTAAACCGGGGTGTGCAATAGGGTATTCTATTACTGGTTTGGAGTGGAGGCACCGAAGGTGGCTTTTGAAAAACCATGTCGGCGCAGTGGAACAAGGAAGAGAATGCATTGTTTGCTGCGAATATCTAAATATTAATGAAAAACAGCAAATTTCAACCCTTCTCGTCTTGTGAAAGTTGTCAGAATTTTTTGTACCCAATATTTTTAGCAGTTTTTATTTTTATTTTCCAACAAAACAGCAGATTTATTAAGCCCCTATTCAATACCACTGTAAAATTTGATTGAAATCGAAATCAAAATCAAAATCAACAATTAATTTTAACAATACGTTTTATAAAATCCGCAATTTTTCAACCACACATTCCATCAACTTTTTATTAAAATCTGCTAAAAATCTGATACAGTCTCTTCACTAAACTGGGCTGACTCATAACATCTGAAAAAATATGTACAAGGAAATGACAAGCCTGCACAATTGCTTGTTTAGCTATGGACAGCTTCACCAACTTCACAACATAAATACTGAATACTCAGGAAGAATGCCATTTGTTGTACAATTCTTACCACCCAGATGACGAACTTTAACATTAGATACAATCAATTTCCAGTTCATCAATGGCTAAAAACTGATCCACTGCAAATTTTAGACCATCCAATAAAGCAACACATTCTCCCGAATGCATACCATATATCATTCCTACACATGGCATCAACATTCAACTTTTAACTCAATTTATGTTCAGTAGATTGAATAGTTTATTAAACAGTAGCCCCCACAAGACACATTCATCAGTCTCACATGGTAGCATTCTCAACTGATAGAAATTGTAAAAATTTAAGAAGAGTCAAATATATATAAAGTGTTGTGCCAAAAACTAAATTATATCAAAGAAATCCAATTTATAAAAACTTGATAGAAAAATTGTTTTATCGGAGAGAAAAATCCAGATAATCAAGAAAAAGAAAATTCTTAGTCCGAAGTAATGAAGAAATGCAAAAAGTGTTGATATTCCCCGTCCAGATATATTCATCCTTCAATAGCAGCGGACAGAAATGCTCTTCCGGGTTGCCTATTAGCCAAAGGTCCATGACATCCAAGAAGCTGTATAATGTAAATAGTTCATTAGTATATTTAGGAGGGCAATGACTCCTCTAACAAGGAAATAATAACAAAGTTGAGAATCTACTATGAATTCTAGCTAAGGCTAATCAAAGGAACCAAATGATAAGGTGGAACAGAAGTTGATGTTTTAGTAAAAGTCAAACCTTTGCATTCACACCATCAGAAATGATCCTGTTCTCAGATTTCCATTTAATATAATCTGGGCGACTGTACTTTGTAAATCCCCTGAAAATCAAGATAATTTAAATAAGCAACAATGTATTAGAACTCTCAATGGTTAAGTTATTAAGCAAAGAGAAAAAGGGAACTAGAGTAATACAAAGGAATAATTTTTCTGTCTATCAAACACAAAATGTACCTGATAAAAATGATTGAAAAGTGAACATAACTGCATCTTATCAATATAGATTTTTCTTTACATCAATTGACGAAAAAATTATCATCTACATTTACCAAACGACCAAACTATACAAAGAGGAGTAATATCTCTGATGAGAATAACAAATGGCTTGGTGAATTTTATATTAGAAATGGATTAGATATTACACTATTTAAATAAGATAGTGGAGATTTCTTGGACTGCACAGACAATTTCTATGGCCACAGACTATGTTGGGGAGGCAGTTTTCATGTCCCATTTCAAGACCACGAATTACATCATTTTTGACCATATGTAAGTACAGATATCAAGTTCCTAGGATGTTTCCACTATGGTAATTGGACAAATTATAGGTGTTGTTCGAGATTGAGAAGAAGAATATAGAATTAATCTCGTACCATTTCCTGCTGACAATGATCTTTTGACGACCTGGAAACTTGAATTTTGCACGGCGCAGGGCCTCCTGGGCATGATTGCTGTTGGAATCCTTGCAGCGCACAGACAGAAGGACCTGTCCAATGGCCACACGTGCACAAACTCCCTGAGGCTTACCGAAAGCACCCCTCATACCAGTTTGGAGCCTATCAGCCCCCGCACACGACAACATTTTGTTGATACGCAATACATGGAATGGATGCACTCTGACTCTCAAGTGGAAGGCATCCTTTCCTGCAAACTTGGTCATGTACTTGTTGCAGGCAATGCGTGCAGCTTCTAGTGCCTCACTGGACACATTCTCCTTTTCCCAACTTACCAAATGCACACAGAAGGGGAATTCATCGACGCCCTTTTTCTTCATTCCAACATCATAGATCCTGATCTTCGGATCAGGCACACCCCGGCAGAACCTTGACTTCGGATAGGGCTTGTTCTTGATCTGGCGATAACACCTTGCTGGTCCTGCGAGTAATAAATAAATATCAACATTATATTAGCAAACCATTTTAAATACATATGCCTTTCAGAAAAAGTGCCACTTGAAATATTACGTACAACTATTTTAGAGTACAACAAACAATAAACTAAACTGTGTTCCCTGTTATAAATAGAGAATATGAAGAAGCCTTAAAATCACAACATATAAATTTCTTTAATTTCGCAAGAAATGTCACAAAAAGAGTCCCTGTGAATGGCAAACCTTAACAGCAAGCTAAGAATTCAAGAAGCATTTTTGGACTACAGAAGACAGGGAAAAGAATCCAGCTTTTGTAATTCAAAAAAATACTCTTCACAACTACAAGTCTACAAATACTTTCATATTTATTTTTCACCGTACTTTCTTTGCAAGTTCAGATCTTGTCCCGGGCCAAGCAAATGAAATTTCATTTAATTGAAAATATATATATTAATCTAGATACTTCTTAACTATACGTGAAGTCCCAGCATTCATTGTAAAAAAAAAAAAAAAAACAGAAATTATCGTTTTTTAGTTCAACCTTTGCAAGGTTTCAACTTTCAAGACTATCGTAACCCATTGCAGCAAATCGAAGTCTTTAAAAATCTTTTAAATATTAATATTCAGATCCATAAAAAAAATTATAAAAATGAATAATCAAAACTCCTAGATAAGCAGAGACAAAAAAATAATAAAATCAATTTAGTTTCAGTTTCCAATATATATTGACGACATGTCTTTAAATCAAATTTCCAAGATTGAATCATAACACACCAAAGCAACATAATATAATTAGTCAAAATCTTCTAAAATACTATCGGAAAATCATTAATCCCAAGTAAGCTGAGCGATATTTTTTTTTTTTTTTTTTTTTTTAA